TCCAGCAAAGCTGATGTTTGGATTGAGAACTCGGTTGCCACTGGATCTGTTAACAGGACGCCCACACATCATGAGTTTCTAGAAGGATCATGAAGGCTTGAGTGTTTGCCTGATGCCCTCTAAATTAATGTGTTTATTCATAAAGGTACAACACTTGAAACTCAAATCCAGAAAAAAACAGAAACAAGGAACAAAGTTCTTTGGAATGAGTGAGAAATCCTTGGTATTGGAATCCAGGAAACTTCAAAGAAGAGTTAAATCCTCTAATCATTTCTTAACTGCGTCCAAGGCATGGATTTCAATCTATTACAGACTCTTTTCCTCGACAGTGAATAGAACAAGCATCAGACCATGCACCCACACAGTTCTCATGATATCACACCCCCAGCTTCATTCTTCAATCATTTTTGGCTTTGTTTCAACAATTTCTCATGTACACAGCTCAGTTTAATAATCTATACTTGCTGCCCAAAATCTCCAAAAACAGCTAAGTGCATAGAATCAAGAAATATATTGTTACGTCTCTAGTCGGTTGATAATTTCCCGGTATAACTTCTTCCTGAGGAACTTCAGCGATACAAAGCCTTTCTTAAATAAAACTAGTTTATTCTTTGTCAATACAGCTTTGCAATACACTTAATTTCCACAGTCACTTTAACTTAAACACACGCTATAATTCACAACGACTCACGCACTTTACTTACAGTCACTACCGCTCACTTGACTCGATTATCTGTCTATATCTCTGTCTATCTGTAATTATTGTCTCACTTTATTTGCCAGGCTTATATATTAAAATTATAGCTGTCAAAGTGATTGATGTGTAGTCAATACAGTGTTCTAATTATAGCTGTCAAAGTGATTGATGTGTATTCCATACAGTGTTCTAGTTATAGCTGTCAAAGTGTTTGATGTGTAGTCAATACAGTGTTCTAGTTATAGCTGTCAAAGTGAATGATGTGTAGTCAATACAGTGTTCTAGTTACAGCTGTCAAAGTGATTGTGTAGTCCATACAGTGTTCTAGTTATAGCTGTTAAAGTGATGGATGTGTAGTCAATGCAATGTTCTAGTTGTCAAAATGATTGATGTGTAGTCAATGCAATGTTCTAGTTGTCAAAATGATTGATGTGTAGTCAATACAGGGTTCTAGTTATAGCTGTCAAAGTGATTGATGTGTTGTTGACACAAAGCTAGAGATCTTGTTGTTAAAATGGTTCATATAATGTTTTAAGTAAGGCAAACCCAGTTGGTATACTAAAAATTCTTACAAATTTTGATATGCCAAATGAACACTGGATGAATACTTGATGATTCTCTTAACTTAATACAAAGCAAACTTCATTTATTCAATTCTGAAGGTTGAATGTTTGTTCTCCTTTGGGCACTTGTATAATTTTCATGCATATTTGGATTGAATATGTTAGAACTTGTTATTAATAAAGGTATTTCTTCTCTTCCGAATTACAGCAGTACATATAAATTTTTTGTTCTGTTGTACTAGAAATGACCATGTTCAACTGTATGTTTGTCGCAAACTTTTAGCTCTGACTAAGCATGTTGATTTAAACCCATTATATGTTCTTAGTTAAATGAGTTTAGTTCAAAACTAGTTTGAGGATTGATTTAGGAAATGTCAGTTTTCTTAAAACTTGTAGAAATGTCTGATTGGGTTAATGAAATCAAATGTTGAAATTTACAGTGAAAATATGTTTTCATGATGTTAACAAAGTTTTGCTAAGTTTAATAAGGAACATGGAAGTAAGATGAATTTAGTACCATTTATAGGACGACTATTTACATCTGGAGTTACAGGTTATTACTAGATGTTACCACTGACAGTTACAGTGTAAACCAACTGGAAGTATGATGAATTTAGTACCATTTACAGGAGGACTATTTATACCTAGAGTTACAGGTTATTATTAGATGTTACTACTGACAGTTACAGTGTAAACCAACTGGAAGTAAGATGAATTTAGTACCATTTATAGGAGTACTATTTACACCTAGAGGTACATGTTATTACTAGGTGTTACCACTGACAGTTACAGTGTAAACCAACTGGAAGTAAGATGAACTTAGTACCATTTAGAGGAGGACTATTTACACCTGGAGTTACAGGTTATTACTAGGTGTTACCACTAACAGTTACAGTGTAAACCAACTGGAAGTAAGTTGAATTTAGTACCATTTATAGGAGTACTATTTACACCTGGAGTTACAGGTTATTACTAGATGTTACCACTAATAGTTACAGTGTAAACCAACTGGAAGTAAGATGAATTTAGTACCATTTATAGGAGTACTATTTACACCTGGAGTTACAGGTTATTACTAGATGTTACCACTAACAGTTACATTCTAAACCAACAGTGTTATGGTTTTTGTTTAAGTTTCAGTCATAAGACTGTTTGGAAATTGTTACTTAGTTTAAGAAGTTTTTGTAGACTTCAACCGGTTGGAAACTATTGATTATTAAAATGATATTTATATTTAAGAAAGACAAGTAGTTAATAGGCAGTTAAGAAACTATTCATTATAAAAATTATATTTATATTTAACTAGGGCAAGTAATTAATATGCAGTTAAGAAACTATTCATTATCAAAATTATATTTATATTTAACAAAGAGAAGTAGTTATTACCTGTATGTTATGCATCCACATATTTCTTGTACAATTGTTAAATGTCCAGAACATCATGAATCAGTTGAATTTGAATAGTCAATATATCTTTATTTAAGTGCAGTGATACTGTATAGTATATAACCCTTTGATTTAAAGGTAAGTTGGTAAGATTTATGAAAACCGGTTCATTCATCATGAATAAATGATCTGTAGACAACTGATTTCTACTTCAACCACACCTACACAAATTTCAAGAAGATCACTCGCAAATAAGATATTATGCATTGTAAGTTTATGTTGTAATACTTTGAGCAGGATGCCCCACACATCAATGGGGATGCCTCCAGTCCATTCAACTAATATTGGCCCTCGACAACCTCATTTGGGTATGATGAATGGAGCTCCTCCTCCAAGTTCCACGCAGGTTGTCACCAAACCTTTATTTCCTTCAGTAGCACAGGTTTGTTTTTGTTAATGTGCTGTGTAGTGTCATTATTTCAACTTTTTTCTTTCATAAGAACTAAATTTCCTACATAGTTCCTTTTTGTTTTTCAGTGGTTGAAGTTTATTTTTATGTTATACAGTGTTGTTTTACGTTACTTTTATGTGTGTGTGTTTACATTTATAGCTGTCAAAGTGATTGATGTGTAGTCAATACTGTGTTCTAGTTATAGCTGTCAAAGTGATTGATGTGTAGTCCATACAGAGTTCTAGTTATAGCTGTCAAAGTGATTGATGTGTAGTCAATACAGTGTTCTAGCTAGAACACAGTATTGACTACACATCAATCACTTTGACAGCTATAATTAGAACACTGTATTGACTACACAATCACTTTGACAGCTATAATTAGAACACTGTATTGACTACACATCAATCACTTTGACAGCTATAACTAGAAAACTGTATGGACTACACAATCACTTTGGCAGCTATAATTAGAACACTGTATTGACTACACATCAATCACTTTGACAGCTATAATTAGAACACTGTATGGACTACACATCAACTACTTTGACAGCTATAACTAGAACACTATTGACTACACAATCACTTTGACAGCTATAATTAGAACACTGTATTGACTACACATCAATCACTTTGACAGCAGCATCTTCAGCAATGTAATGATAACCTAACAACCAGCAACAACCACTTTCTCAGCAACTCTAGAACAACATATTAACAGCAACTGCTTTTTAGCAAATAACATAGATTTCAAGGCTTCAAGTATTAGTTTGAAAGTGAATTTTTACAAAAAACAATGACAAGAGGAACCTACCTTGGTCCCATAAATGGTCCTCCCATTCCTATTGAAATAATAATAATAATATTCTGTAATATATTCATAAACACACTAACTACAGTACATTCTGTAATATATTTATAAACACTAACTACAGTACATTCTGTAATATATTTATAAACACACTAACTACAGTACATTCTGTAATATATTCATAAACATACTAACTACAGTACCTTCTGCAATATATTTATAAACACACTAACTACAGTACCTTATGTAATATATTTATAAACACGCTAACTACAGTACCTTACGTAATATATTTATAAACACGCTAACTGCAGTACCTTACGTAATATATTTATAAACACGCTAACTGC